ACATATATATATATATATATATATATATATATATATATATATATATATATATATATATACATACATATATAAACTTTTGAACGAACTACATATTCTGACTCAGCTCGACAAACTGAGTCAGAAAATAGCTAAATTTTTAAAAGTTGCGCCATGAGGATGGCTGCAATAGTTAGATTTTTTATAAAATCTACTAAAAAATTTAATGTGGTAGGAAAATTAAAAAAAAAAAAAATTTTTTTTTGATAAATTTTTTAAACTTTGATCTCGGATATCTTTGAAATAGTTAATGTAATCGCTTACACATATCAGATCTTTTTTGTAGATCGTTCAATTTTCTACAAAAATTGGTATAGAAATTTGATCAAAAAATTGATCAATAGTGAGATATGATCTTTTTTATAAGAGACTAACAAAAAATATAAAACTGTGATGAGGATAAGCTTCCTATCCATATTAAAAGCTCGAATTTGGTGAGCATTTTCTAGAGGTGCCTGAGAACCAACTTTTCAATATTAGAAGTAAAAAAAAAAATAATCGATTTTTTTGACCCACCCTGCTAATGCTTACAGTTCTATCCGCGGGACATATTTATGTTCATACAAAAATACAAAAAAAAGGAGAATAATAAAAATATGAAAAAAAAAAAAAACAAATGAAACATAAAATTTAATTTATTTCCTTTTTCAATACGCTTAGCGAAGCGGGCGGAAAACGGCTAGTTAATGAAATAATAATATTTTATAAACTTTATAACGCCATATTGTTGAGTATGTTTATAAAAAGGGCTCCAAGAAACAAAAAATTTATATCTATAATTATGGGATATATTATATTTATAATTATGGGATTAATTATTTAAACTTTTATACCGCCTTTTATGACAACACAAACCCGTAAAAAAAATGTTTAATAACAATTGAATAATTTTTTGAAAAATGGTGATACAACTTTTATTACCGCGGAATCATTGTTTGAAGTGTCTAGATGACACCAGAATTTTTTCAAATTTTTTAATTAATATTTAATAGCTTAAAAAAATTATCTATAAACTACGCTCACTAGAGTGGCGGTGCGCGCATGCCGAAACTGCCACGCAAAAGCCGATTTTCAACGCTTAATTAAGATTATAAACATTGGAGCTACAATTTCAGGAGTCGAGAACTTTTTTACTAAAATTTTCTGCTCTTTCAGAATCTTTTTTAATATTTGAGCTATCACTTATACTTTTTGAGCCATCAACCATGTTTTTAGGAGAAGGAGAACTATTTTTCGCAAGAAATCAACTTCACGACTATACTATATGTAGAAGTCAGCTAAGAACGGATTTTATGAAATTCATCCCCCAAAAGGAGTTGCGGAGGAGTTAACAATGAAAAATTCCCGTTTTTAAACTATAGCTCCTATAGACTCCAAATTTGGTAGGAATCTTCTGTAAAAGATTTAAAAATAGTCTATGAACGAATTTTACGATAGCTCACCTCACAGGGAGTTGCGGGGGTGGGTATTAACAATGAAAATGTTTAATTTTTAAGCTATAGCTCCTGGAGACTTCAAATTTAGCTAGAATGTTCTATATGTGATGTAGAATTGATCTAAAAGCGGATTTTACGACAATAATACGGTAATAACTTTACTTCAATCGAGGAAACCTTGAATCAATTTAAAAACAGTATGCTCAATATTATAAAAGAACAATTTACTGAAATGAATAAAAAAATAACTGATAATCCTAGAAAAATTGAATTCTTATTATCTACATTTGACAATGAATAATACTCCAATCGAAACATCAAACAATTCAAGTGACAGACAGGAAAACAGTGATTCCATAACCAGCAACTTCAAAATATGTGCAATCAACGCCAATTCAATAGCAACAAATAAAAGAAGACATGATTTAGAGGTGTTTATCAATACAAATAAAATTGATATAGCACTTATTTCAGAGACAAAACTCAACAATAAACACAAACTAAGTTTTCAAAATTATTCCTTTATAAGAACTGATAGACCGTACTCCAAAAGTGGCGGAGGTACAGTTATATTAATCAACAAAAAAATAAAATTCGCATACATCTCATACCCAAATGCTGCATCAAATAAAATAATTGAATATACTGTCATAAAAATTCAAGGTAATGCCAATAACATATTATACATCTTCAGTATTTATGCAACATGTAATAACAAAAAATCTTTCATCATCGAACTCAACAAGATGTATGAAGACTTTAAATTAAGATCAGATAACATCTTTTTTATCTTGGCTGGAGACTGGAATGCAAGAAACACCATCTGTGGTGACAAAAAATTAAATGAAAGAGGTGCTCTCCTACGCAAATGGATTGAAGATGCTGGAATACACAACAAAACAACCATGTACACACCGAACAAACCTACATTCCCGAGAGCTGGATCCTTCCTGGACCACTGTCTGGCTGACTCTAGAATCACTCTTAGAGGACTAATAAATGGAAAACTGATCACTCTTCCCTATGATAGTGATCGTAATGCTATCTGTTTTATAATTGACCATAATAATTTTCTAAAAGGGATTTCAAGTCCAGCACCACCAACTGCAAGATATAATTACAAAAAAGCCAACTAGACCAGGTTTGCTGACTACCTAGAAGACAATATTGCTGAACACTTACCTCATGATAGAAATTTAACAATAGAAGAAATAGATTCCAATATACAAATGCTTGAAAATCACATACAGGATGCAATCTCTGCAACAGTTCCTATAGTTAAAAATAATATTAAAAAAGGCTGTCAAAAATACATTAACCATAAAATCATTAAACTCCATAAATACAAATCAGCTATGGTAGCTGAACTGTTTAAAAACAAAAATAATAAAGACCAAGTTAAATCAATAATAAAGCTGGTTAACAAGCAGTTAATCAACGAATTTAAAAACTCCGAAACAGCATACTGGGAAGATTTGGCCAAAAATATTAACTACAGAGACTCAGCTAAATTTTTTCCAAACATTAATAGACATTTTAGATATAAAGAACCGCCTTGTATAGAAACATTGATAATAAACAAAAATAGCCCATTAATCTCTGACCATACGCTCAACAATTTCAGTCCAGCAGAAGATAAAAATAATTACATCATTGATCACCCAATTGTAAAACTGAACATCATAGGTTAATACTTTGAATCCATAAACTCACCGAGATACACAAATCAAGGCACATCGACCAAGCAATTTGCAGATACAGTAGCAGAAGACATAAAATCAAGAATAGATAGTTACAGAAGATATAATTTCACACACACTACCTTTTCAAAAACGAATCCAGCTCATTATTCATCACAGAATCAGGAGTTACCGAATTTTTTGCATACATATATACAAGTAGCCCTCACTTTGAAGACAGCCAAGAATAAAACTTCATCAGGTATAGACAATATACCGATGGTAGTTCTAAAACATCTGCCAACTTCAGTCATTAAAGATTATACCATAATCTTTAATAACTGCTTCAACCACTCTTACTATCCTACACGATGGAAGAAAGCCAAGGTCATACCAATAAAGAAAAAGGATAAAAACCACTCCAAACCAGCAAGTTATAGGCCAATCAGTCTCACTGTCAACATAAGCAAAATCTTTGAGAAACTTATCAAGACCCAGCTCATGAATCACGTCAATGAAAATAATATCCTACCAGATAACCAATACGGTTTCAGAGCCAGACACTCAACTGTCCATGCAATAAATAAATTTGCATCCGACATAAACGAACATCTTTTAAACGGTAAACTGGTTGGCACAGCTCTCATAGATCTTGAAAAGGCTTTTGATTCAGTGTGGCTGAATGGCCTTATTCATCTTTTAATACAATTAAATTTTCCAGTGACCCTGATTCTACTAATCTACGATATGATCCATGGCAAATCTTTCATCGTTTAGGATGGTATCAACATATCAACTTCAATATTCAATATACTAGAAGGATTACAGCAATGGACCGTCACTCAATAAATTTGGTCTCAATTCAGGTAATAACACATACAGTGGAGCATACGCTGATGATGAAACAGTTTACGTTGCAGATAGTAAAATACCGGTCATACAAAATAAGTTAACAAAAATAATTAATGAAAAATACCACTGCTACAAATCATGGAACCTTAAAATGAACCCAGATAAGAGTGAGATAATATTATTTCGAAAGACTGTAAATGAAATCGCTCCTCCTACAGTCCTACTGATCAAGAACTTTCAAATCACCATCACAGACAACGACACAGGTGAAAAATTTAACATCCCGAATAAGGACGGTCAAATATCTGGGAGTTCATTTTGATTATCTGATACGCATGAACAAGCATCATGCTATTCAACTCAAAAAAGGTAAAAATGCGTTCAGAGCAAATTCTCGTATTTTCTACGACAGAAATATACAAACAAAAGCAAAGTTGATTTGCTATCAATTGCTAGTTAGACCTATCATCAGTTATGCGGCTCCAATTTGGTGGGATGTAGGCCTATCGGTCATGGAGAAGTATCGCAAGTTTGAAAGATCCTGCCTAAAAACCTGCTTAGGCAGATACCGTTCAGCTGAGTCCAATTACATCAAGCGACTCAGCAATAAAGAGATCTACGACCTAGCAGATATTCGCAGGTTTGATAACTTCTGCCTTACCCTCACTAGGAACTACTTCAGTACCATGTACGAAATTGGTAATGATACAATTAAGAATCTGGAGATCGAGAACAACAAACTAGTGAGAATAATGGCTGGAAGCAACTACAGTCTTCCAGAGCTATTCACCAACCTTGACCGCATGGGCTGCATTCAAAATGAATTCAATGTGCCTATTATATACCACATTAGAAGACACTGCCCGGGAAAAAATGATCAGGACTGATCAGGCCTGTTCAGGTATGATCAGGCCTGAAATTAGGTCTGATCAGGCCTGTCCATGTCTGTTCATGTCTGAACCGTTAGATACGCTCAGACCTGATCAGACCTGTCCATGCCTGTTCATGGCTGTTCATGTCTGAAGTGTTAAATACGCTCAGACCTGATCAGACCTAATTAAGCCTGTTCATGCCTGCTCATGTCTGTTCATGCCTGTTCATGTCTGAAGCATTAAATACGCTCAGACCTGATCAGATCTGATCAAGCCTGTTCATGCCTGTTCATGTCTGAAGCATTAAATATGCTCAGACCTGAATAGACCTGTCCATGCCTGTTCATGTCTGAACCGTTAAATACGCTCAGACCTGATCAGACCTGTCCATGTCTGATCATGTCTATTCTAGCCTCATAGAAAAGGATTAAAACTCCATATATCAGCTGACAAGAACTGTTCATGCATGATTTGCCCTCTTAAATAATAGTTTAAATCTGGAAGAAAAATTTCATCGAACTATAGACTGCAGTTCTATTTTTAAAATTAATTTGTTCCGTATGACGTATCAGTTTCTATCCCCTTATAAATTTTAAATGTAAAACTTTCATTAAAAATTTTGGCTTATATAAGCATGAACTTTTTAATTTTCCATGCCAAAACGATGATTTTTAACGATGAATTTTGACGCAATGACATAAAATTTTTTACTGTGTTCCATTGAATACGCGAAAAATAAGATTATTTAGTAAAAGTTTGAGTTTGATAGCGTTAAAATACCAAAATATGTCAGTTGATATCGATAAGTCCTTTCAAGGTGTATGCTATTATCTTAAGCTACGCCTTGGTCCATTGCAGTAGTGTCAAAGGCTGTTAAATTGTAGAACACACAACTAATTCTTCATTTCTTATACGTTTTAATTAAAAAAAACTTCAATTTTTAAAGAAAACAATAAAATTATAATTACGGAATAAACCTTGAAGAAATTGTTTTTTTTACTTTACATAGAACCATATGTTAATGGAGCGAATAAAATACATAGCCGTCCCAAATAAATCACTCTAATATACACAGTAAAAAATTTTGCGTCATTGCGTCAAAAGGTAAAGTATCAGTCTGAAGAGCGCAATGTACATGGTTCGAATCCCCGTCGGCACCAATCTTTTTTTTTTTTATGGACCTAATCGAGTCAGGAATGAACAGATCTGATCAGACATGAACATGCCTGGCCAGGTCTGATCAGACCCGGTCATTTTTCATGTCTGATCAGACCTGAAGCCTCATGCCTGTTCATATCTGATCAGATCTGATCATTTTTTCCCGGGTGTGCAAGAAAATCTATCTTCACAGATATGGACCATCTCCCACCAGAGTCCATAGTTTATTCAATGGCACTCCCGGCCAGAGATCATGATAGCCTAGACAGGCTGAATGAAAAATACTGGTGGCTTCATGGTGAAGCTAAGCATTTAGATGAATTACGACGGAGAGCCAGAATCAAGAAGCAGCAATTCCGACAACAGCAAAGAGTACGACCACTCTTAAACAGCCGAAGACGTCACAGGCAGTAAACTCTTCTGCAACCGCAGAATTTTGTAAATATTGTATATATTGTAAATTTTCTAACCCTTATCCCATCCTTATACTCCCCTCCTGACTCCTTCTCCCATCCCTTCATACCGCCTTGAGAAGGCAAGTTAAAGTTGCAATGGTTTTTTATATTTAAAAATTTTAAATTTTTCCATAGCATTAAATATATCACTTACAGTACTAATAAATTTACTTTTTATACTAAGATAAAATTAATAATTTAAGAAAATATTTATATTTTTTTCAACAACCGATTTTTGATCAGAGCATCATCTGATGACATATCAAAATAAATTATATTAGTGATTAAGTTTTTTATAAGAATATTATTACTTAACTATGTATAAAGAAAACGTTGAAAATAAAATTCTTTTTCAAACCAAACCAAAAAATCGCCTGGGAATCTTTTATTTACGATGTAGAAATCATCTCGAATAGGATTTTACAAAATTCTTCCCCTATATAGGAGTGCGGGGGTGTTAATTGTCAAAAAATTAATATAGATCAAATACAGTTTTTACAGTCATAAAATTTGATGGAACCTCAAAAGAAACCGAAAATTCCAGGGGTGACCTCCAGGGTCAACCGATTTAAATATTTTTCTTTCTTAATGATTACATGTCAACTAAAAATGAATTTCGCGATAATTGACTTCATATGCAGGTTGTGTCAAAGTGATAAGTAGGATAAAAAAAATGATATTGTTTATAAAGTAGGACTTTTTAAGACATTAAATTTAGGATATATCTATTAGTCCTTTCGCCACAATAGAGGTCTGTATTCAAAATTTCAAAATATATGTCGAAGGAAAGTTGAAGCCTTCCTGTACGTATTTTGATATGAGGGATTCAAATCTGAAATTTATTTTTATCCAGCATGGTCGAGTTAATTGTTATTAACAATTAAAATGTTTGAACCGCGATATCTCCTAAATGGAAATAGTTAACAATTTTTAACTTCCCGCTAAAAAAATTGAAGATTTTCAAAAATCGGGAAGTTATTGTTTTCACCCCGTTTTACAAAAATCGAGTTTTCATCAGATCTCCAAGTTTGAAGGTCACAGGAAGCTTTCCTGACTATCCCCGCGAGGTTGTCACTATGTCTGTATGTATGTATGTATGTATGTATGTATGTATGTGTGTGTGTGTGTGTATGTGTGTGTGTGTGTGTGTGTGTGTGTGTGTGTGTGTGTGTGTGTGTGTGTGTGTGTGTGTGTGTGTGTGTGTAGTGTGTGTGTAGTGTGTGTGTGTTGTTTCCTTTAATGAAGATAAAAAAAGTTAGTGTATGTAAAATTCATATTTGTATATTATACTGTAAAAAATATATAAATAAAAAAATGACAGAATTACATTTCGCGCATCATCGTACGCTGCAGCGAATGATTCTTGATGAGATTCTTTAAACCCAATGGCTTCGTGAATTCGCACATCTCTTAAAAAAACTTTAGTTATGGTTGTGCAGCCAACAATGTAGATCCCATTGACTTAGTTGACGTCTATAAAAAAAAATTAATAAATTATGATTGATGATCACAAGTTTTTTCAACTAACTAAAAAATTAGAAAATAAAAATTTTAATAAAATAATATAATTATGTTTACATTAATCAATTATTCTTTACTTACCAATTATCTGTTTCTTCACTTCGTGAGACCAATTGTTTGGATGAAAAGCTTTATTTCCATGTATAATTAACACTTCTAAATTTAAATTATTTATGTCCATATTTTAAATTAATACTTTTTAAATAAATTTTTTTTCAATACATAATGATTTTAATGAGTGAGCATATATTTAATTATTCATATTTATACTTAATTTGTTTATTTATATTTATTTGGTTAAAAATTATATTTTTTTATTATTTAGTGTTACGTCGTGGTCAAATTAACGTTTTTGTTTTTTTTTTGTCTTAAAATAATACGAATTTTTGTAAATTTTAAAATATAATAATGAGAATGACACTAATAATGAGAAAACGCATTAAGAGTCTCGTCTGGACTATCTGAAAAAATTCCCGTCATTAGACAAATCCAAGTTCTTTAAGAGATTAAAAATCCTAAATACATAAGTAAATGCGGAAGTTTTATTGCCCTCTGTATTGATTAGCATTATCTACAAGGATTTTGAAAATTTTTAACGTTTTAAATAAAATAAAATTCTAGAGACAAATAAAATAAAACTGGAAAATAAAATAATTTAAGGAAGATCCGAAAATAATAATAAATGTTAGTAGTAAATTTTAAAATAATAATAACATAAATAATTTAAATAATTCCTTTGTGACAGGTGGGCCTACCCTCCCGTCAATATTATGATAAATCATATATATTTTCTATAAATCGATGAGCTAACTTGCCCACATGAATTAGACACCGAATTTCCGCTGTATTCCTAGCCTGACTCTGGTTACGGAGAATCGCTACTTGCACGTGGTGCTGATGAGATGCTTTCTTGTAGAAACCGAGCGAACAGGTACTCTAGTACAGGGAACCGCTTTCGGCGCCTTGATACCACTTTCTGCTGACTAGGGAACTTGACAGTAACCATCTAGTTCCTAAAGGCGGAATAATCTGAATTCAACCGCGAAATAATATGAGTTCCGCGCAATGATACATGTATTTGGCGGCATCCACGACCGAAGTTATATAAACCTGGAATCTCCGGGATGCGCGGCCACTTGTAATCAGTCAGTCGTTTAGTCTCTCCGAATCTATGTCAAGTCCGAACTGTCTTGCATCGTAATTAATTGTCTCCTAACACTCTCATTCTCGTTGCTGTCCCATCTCTCTCTCTCAGTTATAGAATCAGAAGTATTGCATCAAATGGATTATTGTACTGGATTAGAATTGCTTTCATAAATAGAATTAGTTTGTAAAAGAGACTCTCAGGGCCATTTCGGGCAACTCCCATGCTTTGGGGACGCCCAATAAACAATTAGTACCGTAATTCACGTGTATTCTTCATTCACTGAGCGACCCACACCCTTATCAACATCTAAACATTTTTCAGTGAGACGCTGAGCTAGTCCGGAGGTCTGATTACGTGACAGGAAAATAACCAGGTGCAGGCTCACACGTAACATCCTTTAGTAAAAAAAACAATAATTACAACAATAGAAAATATTTAAATAATCTTAAAGAATAATAACTAATTTTTGATAATGAATATTATTATCAATAAATAAATCAATAAATAAATTAGTTAATAATAAAATAAAGGACTTAGTTAACTAAAGAAACTATGTATTTGTGTGCATGTAAATGTGCTTGCACATACACCAATACATAGATATAATATTAGCCTATAAATAAGAGAGAGAGGCACATCGTCGTGCCCTCTGTGCCCAAAGAAGGGAGTTCAAACAAACATCTTTAGAAAACTTGGAAGAGAGGGTAGAATCTAAGGGAAATAGACAGTTAATTGGATACTGTTCTCCCCCAAGTAGTAATTTGGAAACGCCCAAAAATTTGAGTCCCAAAAAGAACTTCGCATGAACTCTTTCTCGTTATCCTGACCCCGAAGTGTACGGATCGCCCAATTAGCTAGTGACCGGGTTTCTCTCACGCAGCTAAATAGTTTTTTTAAGTATTGAGTCCTCGGTCTGAGCCTCTCGTTAGAACGTACCCTCGTGCGGGAGTCTCGCCAGAGACTCCCATCGAGGAATCGTTAGAAAAAGATCTCCAGGTTTGCGGATCGTTTCAAATATTAGTTAATGGCCGGTATTTCTCCCACGTAAACTAAGAAGTGTAAATTAAATAACAAAAGTAGAAGCTAGCGAAATTAAATGTTTAATAGAATCCTTTAGTAAAAAGTTGATGTGACGTTTTCATTGCTGTCGCTTTTCGTTGCTATAGTGACCATTTTAGTAACCGTTACCATGGCAACAATTACCATAGCAACCGTTACCATAGCAACCGTTACCATAGCAACGGTCACTATGGCAACGGTTATCATGGCAACAGTAACCATAACGACGGTTACTATGGCAACAGTTACCATAGCAACAATTACACCGGCACACAAAAAAAATTAAGTAGAATGTGCATTTGACCGAACCTACCTACGGGTACGTATTTTGGTCCGCTGAATCCAAATTTAAGGTCAGTTTGACCCCTACACCCTCGAAATTTCGAGAAAACTTCGAAAAACCGTAAAAACGATGAAAATCGGCAGTTTTAATGATAAAAAAATTTTTTGGAATTAAACTAAGCGTGATTTTCATGTATTTCGATGCACTGAATATGAATCGAAAATTTATTGAGACCACGAGCCATTTTTAATATAAAAAAATCACACAAACCCTCCAAAGTTCCGAAAAAAGTAATTTTTTTGGTTTTTTTACTCTCGTTTTTGACTTTTAAAGATTTAATTGCTTCTGCCTGTAACCAGGGCACCTCCACGTGGTGACGGTGGGCAACAGAACCATCTGGCAGAGTCCCTGGGTTAACGGCGTGTGTGCCGTCATGGCAGGTACAAGTGATAAGTACTTTACGATGCAGGGAGTCGGAGCCCCAGTATCGGCGTCTGGTTAGGGTGAGAAAGCAGGCTTGCAGGCGTCGTCATCAAGTGACTGCAGCTCTTCAGAAGTGGAAAACTTGGCTACTGGAGAGTATACTATTACAAGAAGTAATTCTCATCTGTATAATAAAAGTCCTGATTCATTTTGTTACATTTGTGGAGAATTCAATTTGGAAAGGAATCAAAGATCGTTATCTGATAAGATCAAACAAATTTATGAAGAATGTTTTGGTCTCCAAATTACTAATTTGGATTCAGCATGGGTTCCACATACGATTTGTAGTCGATGTAACATGATGTTAACCTGGTGGGAAAAACAGGACAACTTGAAATTCACAATACCAATGATATGGTCTTCACCAACTGGTTTACAGAATTGTTATTTCTGTATGACAGATACTACCGGGTTCACCTGGAATACAAAAAACAAAATGGTATACGCCAATGTTTCATCAGCTTTT